ACACAGCCCACTGGTTATTTTTAGAGAGCTCTAAACAAGAAGTAAATCCCTGGAGCAGTGCTGCCAGAGATGCATAAAGTTCAAATCCAAATTAAAACTGCCTATCTTTGGCCTAAATTCCAATCTGAACTTGAGGAAAACTGTGATCTATAACTTGAACTTTATGACAAAAAATCCTTTGCAATTAGTTTCTAGTACCTGAGAATACATGAGTGTGGTACAAACACTTGAAAATTAGAAGTTGAATGAAAAATGGGAACATTTGTCCAAAAATGTAGTACTTGGTCTTGTGAGTACTGTTGTGTGACTTTAAGTTTCAGTAGCTGCACTGGAATTTGGAGAGTCTAATTTTTTGTGATCCCTTGTTTTAATACATCTTTATAAGATCAAATCCTATAATATAATTGTAAATTTTGGGGGCAGGAGGAGAAACATGCTTATTTAGTGATCCCTTTAATAATGACCTGTGATGCTCAGGTCTTGGTTTAGAAATCACCAAGATAGAATATGGGGAAAGTAGATCCCTTTTCAGCAACATATTTATGCAAAGTAGTTGAAAGTAGTGCAACTGAAGCATGTTCTTGATTTCTTTGCTGAATCAGAGCCTGTATCTTCTTCCTGCCAAGGCAGCAATCTAATACCACTCCTAAAGGCACTAGTAATTCTAGAAGTCCTAATGAAAGTCAAGATAACACCACGGATTTTATAAATAAGGGTCTTTATTTAGAATACTGTTGAAAACATTCTTGGCAATCACATCGTATAAATATATAAAGTTAAAGTTTGACACGACAAACCAAGCAATATTAAATATTTTTAAATTTTCCCCCTTTTTGTTTTATTTTTTGATTTTATTTTTTTTCTTTCTTATCCTTTTTTTCCTTTTTTCTTTTTTTTTTGCAAAGCAACTCTTATTTACAATTATACAAAAAATTTAAAAAAAAAATGGTCCACAACCTTATTTTGGCCAGAACAGGAGTAATAGGAAGGATCTCTCGTGCCACTACTGTTCTAGATTTCTATTTTCCTCCACATTCAAGAGCCAGGTTCCTATTCCCCACAGCCCAGATTAAACATTGGCCATTTCGTGGTATACAATTTTATCTCTAGTCATATTAAATAACTTTAACAACCAATAAATAACTATGTGTATTTTGAAGTGATACAGGTTTGAAAAGTTATATATTTGAAGGAATTTTGAGTGATATTTTAAAACTGGAACAATTCTTTAGAAGTCTTTTCAATCTTAGAAGGCAGGTCTCAAGCAGGGCCAGATGGAGCAAATTGTTTTCAGTGCAGTCCAGCTGGACCGGCCCTTACAGCACTTGGTAGATGGGGTTGCTGCTGCTGTTATCCTGGGGAAGTGGGGTGCAGTTGGTGGGGGAAGGAATTTGGGCTCCGCTATCATTCAGACTCACTCCTTCTGGGGGGGAACAGGGACTCCCTTCAGCAACAGTTTCCACTGGAGGCAATATAGGGCATGTGGAATTATCTGTGGAAATCCTCTCTACAATGCTTGAGAGGCAATCGAGACTGGACACAACAGAACTCTTCCCGTGCTTTGGATCTAAAAAACAGACAAAAAGGTGCTCAGATTATCCAGTGGGTACTTAACATTAGTAGGCAGTTACACACTTGTGAGTATGTGAAGATTCAGAGAAAATTAATATTAGTGAAGGATGCCAATTATCAGAAAACAGAGATTGTAATTGCAAAATGGAAGAGAGGCCCAACCACAATGTGCTGCTCTGAGGCCATGGCTTCACTTAGTTCATAGAAAGTGAAGATTTGAAATCAAACTGAAATTTCTCCACTTTGGATCAATGACACATAGAGTAGGAAGAGTCTTCATGCAAAACATGGTTAAACACAGAAACTTAGTTGCAGAGAGGAAAATACTTTTATCCAAATATTGTATTTGCAAAATAGGAAACGTGGCTATAACATATCCTCATATTTGCAAATACATCTAGAGGAAATTCAACGCCTCTCCCGGCAGCAACAGCTTGCTGGCTGGAAAGGCAGGTTCCTCTTTCAGCCCAGCTGGAGATAGAGCGGGCACAGGGCATTTTGCTGCACTGCCTGCCTCTGTCTCCGTGTTCCACACTGCCGTTACAGCACGTACTCACCATTTGGTGATTCCGTGTAGTAGCTGCTGTCATAGCTGTTTCTTCGGCGAGAGCTGCACGGAGGCCCGCTGTACTCCATCTGGAAAGGAGAGAAATCTGAGTGAGGTCACTGCACTTACAGAAATCCCAGTATTTCAATCTTTAGTCTAGGCCATCATTCCAGTCCTGGCTGAAATGCTGTCAAGTTGTAGTTTCTTCGAATGAGGAAGAAGATAAGTGGATCCACCCAGAATATTTTATGTGGCACAGCTGTTCCACAGGAAAGTTACCACTACTGCATCAAATGCTGAAGCTTTACAGATGATATGAGGCTTTCCAGCATTCTGATCAGATACAGCCCTACATATATTTTCAGTTTACAACAGGGAAACTGAAAGGGCAATGAGATCTTTTAGTTAGTTTTCGAAGATTTTTCAAAACATGAGCTCCTCTTAAAATAATTCTGTCTACCCTTGTCCCTTTGTATTTCCTTTAGTTTCTTTTCCCATTTCCATTTTGTTCAGAAAAAGCTCCAAAACATTGACCAATATGTTTGTTTCCATTACTTTAATCCCTAATGAAATTACTCTTTGTGTTAAAAGAGGCTGTATTTTGAAGAGGGATCATTTGGGTAAATCTTTTTTCCAGTCTGTCAACTATCTTATAATCACAGATATTCAACTCAGTAATGATTATTTCCACCAGAGCACAGAAAACAATCTCCAGTTTTAAAATGCTGTTGATATCCCATCCAGATATCTGTCCCGCACTCCAGTCACTGTGTCCCACACCCTAGAATCAGACTAGCGACTGCACCTATAGTCCTAGTCTAAAGATGTGATGATGAGACACCTCCTCTGGCCCCCACCCTTCTCCCATCCCCGTAATGTACAAACAGCACTGAAAGCCTGGATTCTCCTTCCTATTGCTGGTAAATGTCTATGGAGGGGATGAAGTGAGTGAGAAGAGAAACAGAGAACAATTTTCTTAAGGATCAAGAAAAACAACTCCTGTTGCTTAGACCCTCCTCCTGCTATCCTGATGAATGGCAGAAAACAAGATTCCCATGTAACTACTATGTCCAAGAGGGCCCTTCCTCTCTGCTTTGAATCCGTAGAGGATTCAAAGATAATGATACAGCAGAAGATGGAAACAAGAGATGCCTCAGGAGCAACAGGAGCACAGGCAGGGCTCAGACCTCACCATGCCCCCAGGTACCCATCCCAGGTAGCTTCCCAAAGTCCCCAGGACACAGGGGGACCTGCTTAACCCGGAAAAAAAGGTGTAAGAGATTTTTCTTCTTTCCCTGAGATCGTGGGATGTGGGAACCCCACTTCCCTTTGCCATGGGAGGTCAAGGCATGAGAGAGGACTTTGTCTTCTGCCTGGAGAGGTACAGAAGGCAGCTGCTATAGGAAAGGCAGGAAGAGGAGACTTGCCCTGCTCAGGTTTGGACCAACAAAGTCCAGCACACCTTGGTGGCAGGGAGTCCTCCCTGGGGCACTCACCATGCCATCAGAGCAGTTGGAGCGGGGGCTAGAGGCATCCGATTCCCCGCTGTAGTGCTCCAGCACAGGGTAATAAGCATCCTCCTGCTCCCGCAGCAGGGCCTGCAGGCTCTCGATGTAGCGGATGGCGTTGCGCAGGATCTCCACCTTGGGCAGGCGCTGGTTGGGGTTGGTGGAGGTGCAGCGCTTGAGGGTCTCGAAGGCCTCGTTGACCTTGCTGAGCCGCCGCCGCTCCCTCATGGTGGCGGCCTTGCGGCGGTCGGCGTTGGTGGTCTTCCTCTTGCAAGCCTTGCACGCCCACAGCAGGCAGCGGCCGGCCTGGTGGTGCCCACTGGGTGCCCGGACATGCTCCTCCTCATGCCCGTGGTGATGTCCGTGGTGGTGCGGGTGCTCCTCGGGCTTCAGAAGACCCCCCACGTGCACCAGCCGGGGGTCCAGGTCCTCAAAGAAGTGCATGTCCGATGTGTTGAAGCACGGGTCATCATAGAAGTCATCAGCAGTCGTGAAGGAGCAGAGGGAGCCCTCCGTCATCTCCATGGGGCCCAGTAAGTCCATGGGGGCGGCAGACGGGTCAGCGGCTGGGCCAGAGGGGAGAGCGAGGGGATCAGAAAGGAGGGGGCTTCCACCGGGCGTTTCCGTGGCCGGGCGGGTGCGCGCAGCAGAGACCCTCGCAGCCTCTCCCAGGCGAGGCCACCAGCGCTGCCTGCTGCCCCGGCCCCCTCCCCAGCCGCGCCGGTCCTGGAGCGCCACTCGAGGCCGTATTTATGGCCGAGCCCCCCAGCGCGGCGGGTCGGGACGGGGCGGGTCGGGGGGCGCGGCCGGGCGGGTCGGGGACCGGGGCGGCGGGGGGGGGGGGGCGCGGTGTTCCGCGGGCGCTGGGGCAGCCCCGAGCCCGGCAGCCCCGAGCCCAGCCGCCCCGGGCGCTCGGCTGCGCGGAGCTCTCTTCTCCCCCCTGCTTTTAGCTCCGAGCAGCCCGCGCCGCCGGCGCACCAGGGGGAGCGAGGCGCCCCGATGCCCGGAGGTGCCAGGACCGCCGGCCGCCCGCCCGGGTGGACAGCGGCGCGCCCCGCTGCTCCCGCACGGCACCGCACACCGCCGGCGGCTCCGCTGGCTTCTCCCAGGGAAGAAGCCCCCGGCGCCGGGACAGGTCTCTCCGCGCCGGCCGCGGCTCTGCGGCCACGAGGGTAACTACAGCCGAGACATTCGTGAGAGCGGGCGGTGCCAGGGCCGGGGACACCGCGGAGAGCCGGGACCGAGCCACCCCGCACGGCCCCGAGGCACCGCGGAGAGCCGGGACCGTGCGGGAGCAGCGCGACGGGCGGGTCGTGGCCGCGGGACCCGCACGGCGGCCGGGCCGCCTGTGGGGGGCGGTGTCGGCTTTTCCCGTCGGGAAAAGCCGCTTTGCCCGAGGGCCGTGGAGTGCGCCGGCCTTTCCCTCGGAATTCAGGTGTCCTTGTGTAAATTCGCATTTCGGGTTCCTCTTTCAGCTCGAGCCTCTGTTTACCTTTATTCTGGAACCTTTGCAGAGGTGGAGTCCATGCCGTGCAGAGGCGTTTCACACTGCAGTTGGATAGCAGTGGCAGTTTGGAGCTTGGAAAAATAGGATGGGTTTTGGTAACGCCTCTCAAGGGTGCTGAGAGTTTTTACTCTGGTTTTGGAATATCGTTTGTGATGAGAAATTAGGTTCTTTTCAGAGGCACTTCAGTAGTTCAACTGTATGATTTCGTTGACTTCATGGCTGAAATAGTTATGCATATTTTTAATGTACCAAGAGCTACAATTAATCTCTGTTCTGCAGTCATACATATTGGTGAAATTTTAACTCTTTCAAAATCAATGGCAAAGCTCTGTCTTCAGTGGGGCAAGGACTCACAGAATCTGAAAAGGTAAAAGACATCCATCAACGATCAACCCCCAATCCCTGTGCCTATGACTTCTTCTAGGGGCTGTTGTGATGGTGGTTTCTTTTGTTGTTATATGATCTGTTTTTTTGCAAAAATTCCTAATCTGCAGTCCCCATTTTCTGTTTACTTAAATGTTTTCAAGTACAGACATCAATAAGAGCTGTAAGTCACCTTCTATCATTATCCCCAAAAGATAAAAGTTTTATTTAAAGATAAAACTATATGTTTTGGACTCTGTACAAGTCCGCTCTTTCACTGTATCCAATGCTGAAAAGTGATATGTCCCAAGGAGATCGGCTGTTGACCACCCTTACACATTTAGACATGTATCTCCCAGCTGTCTCTGAGAGGCAGAGTAGCAAACTTGTGGAAACACTTCACTGTTATTACACAGGTTCTTTGATCCAGAAGGAATACACAGATTTATTTTAAAATCTTTATTGAACAGTTAATAAAGCAAAAATAATTTGTATTCGAAGTAGTGCAAGGCATATAGTAATGCAAAGTAAGTATAAATGAGAAATAGTTGTATGCTATAACATTCTAACAACTAAACATGTAAATCTGGATATCAAAGCTTGGTGCTGGCAGACTGACCCACTCTAGACACTTAAAATCTTTCCAAACCATTGGTTTAATCTGTGGAAAAGGTAATTTTACCTAATATTTAGTCAGTATTGTGGCCTATTCTGCCACTGCTCATTTCTAGCTTGTATGCAACCCCAGGAAAAGATACTCTGGGACTTGAGCACACAGTGGTTACCTTGCACAATGTGGTAACAAATGGTGAGACTTTGACAAGCACTCCAAGGAGTTTGCCAGCATTTGCCCATGAACACACTTAAGTGCATGAACTCACTCAAGTGCAAAGGTCAGGAGAAGGCCATGACCAGATGGTGAATTCCGTGCAGTGATCTTCCAGTAAAGGTACCCTTGAGGACACCTTCCTCTGGTGTTGGACCAGATGACCTCCAGAGGTCCCTTCAACCCTAACAATTCTGTGATTCCCTGCTGCTGCCACCAGAACTAACATCCACTTTCCAATATTTCCAGGTTTGTCCAGAAAGATGTTGCCTGGTACAGTGGGGCCTGAAAAAAAGTCCTTGCAAAGAACAAATCCTGAGATGCTTTTCTTAATTTTATGTGGCCATAGTGAAGAGGACGAAGGACAGCATAATCTCCACTTGGAGACTTTAAGTGCATTTCTCACTGAGAGTCAGAAACCATAGCTAGTGCTTATGGCAAGTATTACAAATATTCTATTGTTAAACCCCTTTGGAAGCCTCTGTGGCTGTAACTCTTAATTTCAGTAAAGATTAGGTCTCTCCAGAGATTCCAGTTTGGAATCTCTTTAGGGAACTAGCTATTCAGAGCTTCCCCAGATCATGTGTTTGGATGGTTTGGGCATTGCTTTGGAAGTACAGATACTGAGAGCGTATATGAACAAGCATTCAGCAGAGAAGGAGAATTTGTGAAGTTTCTATAAGCACTGTTCCCCTTGCACCTGTTCCACATTTCATCCTTCATCTCCTTTTTTCAGGAGGTGATTGAAAAGGAAAATGGGAAGTCAGAGGCAGATTGTACTTATGCTGAGAAGCGTGGACAGACTCACCCTATACACAACAGACAGGTATTATTAACAAATCTGAGACCATATTCACAAGCATATGTGCCCTCTCAGCAGAAGCAGCATGTGGACAAGAAGAGCTTATTATCTACAGTAACTGATTTCTCTTTTCTTTTTCAGAAGATAGAGACTGGGAAAATAGCTGATTGTGAGTTTATCTGTCTTTTCAGGCAGAGGGCCCGGAAAGTGAATTTTGGAAAAGGGAGAGAGAAAGACCTAAATTCTGAGAATCTGTGGATACGTTTGGCTGGAAGATGAGTATGAGAAGCCTGAGAAATGGACATGGTAGTATTTCACAGAAAAATGAGGTAAGTCTTGCTTTGAAAAATTTCGATGTTAGGTTGTTACGTTGGAATTTGCTTAAGGTAAAAGAGAGTCTTAAGTGCTGGAAACCATCGAGGAGGCTGTACCTACATTTCAGAAGGTACCAACTCTTAAAGGAGAAGGTTGTTGTAGGAGTAGGTCAAACATTACCAGTAGTGTTTGAAGGGGTTTTATATGGCACTAGTTTTATACTTCAGTTAGTAGCTTTGCTCTGTTCACACTTAGTGAGCTGTATTTTAATACTGAGAGGGACGGATTCCATTGCTCTTATTCATGTTGAGTTGCAGTCAGTGGAACTAATTGTTGAATAAGGTATGCTCAGCATGAGAATGGGTGATGGAATCTAGCCCAGATGGAAATAGCTTTTAAACTACTGCTGTTTTAGAGAGCAGCCATCTCAACATCGGCAAATCCAGCATGTTGGTAAAAGTGCTTTGAGCCATTCTTCTGCCACATTGTGGTACTCTTATAGATGAATACAGGGGTTGTTTTAAAGTGGTTGTGTGTCCCCCCTCCACCAATGTTGAATCCCATTAACAAAAAGATTGGGAAAGCATCTACATTGTAATTGTCTGTCCCGTGTTACACCACCAACAGAAAGTAGGTGGGCTTTGCAGAAATTGCTATTCAACTGCAGCTGTGTATAAACAGCAGTTTACTGAAAATGTTTCATTGTGCAGTGTTTTTGTAGTAATGAAGTTTTCTGGCATTTATTTTCACTCTGTGGCATACTCTTCCATCCAACTCTCTCGGATGAAGAAAAATACTGGTGAAGTTTTGAATACATATACAAAATCTCTTGGAGAATAATACCAGCATACTTGGCTGGTGAATTGAGGAATAAAATGGAGAGGCAAAGAACCATTTGTAACATTGAACTGAATTTATTTTCAAGAATAGGAGTATCACTTACAGTATTACATGATGTGAGACAATCTTTCAATGAATCAAACCCCAATTGCAAAAAAGATGTTGTGTATAGTGACAAAAAAAAACAACCTAGCTGCAGGCAGCTGATCTAGCCAGTTGCTCTTCTTAAGTGACCTTGGGAGTCAGGGTACAAAAAGCAAGGCACTCCTGCAGGAGACGAAGGAAAAGAATTTGGACACCTCTGAACTTCTGAACTTTAACCAAACTGGCTAATACTGTCCCAACTGAAAGGCAAAACTAATGAGTGGCCACTCTCTCTGATGCAATACTAGTTAAGTGTGCTGCTTTTTCGCTAGGATCTTATGCCTCTACTTGGGACCAAATAGGGAATACAAGAAATAGCAGGAGTACCATAGTAATACCATAATTGAACTAGCTGAAATAGGGGTCTGTATGAAAACTAAAGCAACCATCCTAGGTCAAGTCTGGACAGAGCCCTAGAGCTAGTGTCTTCAGTGACACTTGCAAAATATCCAGTAGAACCTGTAAAGATCTCAGCTAATAAAAACTCCTAATTTCTCTCTCATCTGTTTTCTGACAACGAGAAAAGCCAACTAGGCACATAACTGTAGAGAAAACCAGCATGTTTTCTTATTCTCAGTGTTGAGGAAATGTTTGCATCCTTCATCCTGAAGAAGTAAATTATTCATCCTGATACGTAAATTATTTTGACTACTTATTTAAATTGCTACTATGATAGAAATAAGAAAAATTTGTTTTAAACCAAGTCTTTTTAAAAACAAGTTCATTATGCTAGTATACTTGTTAGTAATGTAAAATATCTAATATATATATATTCAGGAATATAAAATATTCAGGAATATAAAACTAAATATTTGGATTTCCTGCCACATAAAAGTTTCCTTGTACTAAAGCTGCAGTGGTTTCCTTTTTTTTTTTTTTTTTAATAAAAATTATATATACTGTTAAAAATTTGCACTAAATAATCCTGTTAATCATTTAAAACAGAAAAGAAGCTTAAAAGCTTTTGGCTTCTAGGAAGAATTGCATAGATTAAGTGTGACTACTGCTGACAATCTAGGTAGCTGGCAACCTTGCTATCATTTAAACAAAATAATGGTATAGGCAAGATTTTGACTCAACAGAGGATGAGGGGGCAGGGTGTAAGACAGGAGTGATACAGGATCATGTCTCCTGAGTTCTGGTCCCAGCTCCACCCTCTGGAAAGGTTTGCCTTAGGAGCTGCCCGGTAGCAGCCACAGCGTTAAAGGCCCTCCCTGCCCTGCTTCACTTTTGCTCCTGTCCCATTGTTACACTGTGGCAGCATTGTAGTGCAGTGTACAGTTGCATATATTGGCCCTATGCCATTTCTGTGCTGGGAAGATTCTCTCTGGGGTCGCTTCAGACCTTCTGCAGCTCCTGTGCACTGCTGCAGAGGTGGGCAGGGGCTGCAGTGATCACTAGACTCTGGCTCTATGCTTGTTCTGAACTCTTTCTGCAACCGGTCCATGAAGTAATCCCCAAGACTATTTCTGCCATCTTGGGAACAGTCAAGCCTGCGAGCATTGGTGAGTAGATCTCCCATTAGCTTGATCTTCCGGATTTTGGGCGCAATAAATTGCTTCTTCATAGTGCTTGCACTATGAGGGTCTGCATTTTCAACACTCAGGGCATAAAGCTCTTCAAAATACCGTAGCATAGTTTTCCACTGTACCATTGCTAATTCCAGGGCTTTCATCAGACCGACTGCATAATCACAGTTTGGTTTCTAAAAACAAAGACAGAATTATATTTATTCAGAACAGTTGATCTTACTGTATTCATCAGTGGTTTCCTGCAACTTAATCTGGTGCTCCAAACAAGTTGTACTAGGATTTTGTAACAACTCCTAGTTTGGAGCATCTATTTTTTACAGAGTGCCATGGCTGTGAACACACACAGGTAGCAGGGCCCAAGCACTTTTTCAAGGAATGGATTTAGATAGCAGCAGCTATGTCCAAGGAGCATTCTTACACCAGGAAACCCAATTATAGAATGGCTGGGGTTGGAATGGACCTTAAAAAAGCATCTCTTTCCAATCCCCTGCTGTGGGCAGGAACACCTTTCACTTGACCAGGCTGCTCAAAGCCCCATCCAGCCTGGTCTTGAACACTCTCAGGGATGGCCATTCACCACTACTCTGGGCAACTTGTTCTAGTGTCTCACCACCCTCATAGTAAAGAGGTTCTTCCTAATCTAAATCCACCCTCTTCCAGTTAAAAATTCTTGTCCGTAATCGTATCACTGCACTCCCTGAGAAAGAGTCCTTCCCTCTATTTCCTGTAAGTGTCCTTTAAGTACTGAAAGGCCACCCTAAGATCTTTGCCATTTCAAACTGACTATTTAGAAAAATTTTCACAATGGCCTTTTTACTTTCTACAGCTTAACAACTGCTATGATGGACCAAAGAAGAGCATTCTCTATTAACTAATTACAGAAAACTAATTTGGTAGAGGAGAATCAGCCCCTTGGTCTTAAATAAATGAGGTGGGTTATTTTTTTCCCTGAAAACTTCGAGTTATTCTTTTGCAACTCTGCAACTGTGCAAGCCCAAGTTAAGTCTGTAGTTCACATTCTGTCCTGAGCTGTGCTTTAGCAAATCAACTACTGCCTCAAGCTGGATGTTTCTTCTACCTCCTTCCTTACCACCTTTCTTACGTGCTAATCATGTCTAGGCTTCTACTTAGTGCGAAGGAGACGAGTGGGCTGTTTCAGCACAGTTTAAGGAGCCTTATAATCCGTTACAGCACACTGGAAACATCAGTGTCCAGCTGAGTAAAAGGAAAGGAGAATACTGTTCATATTCTTTTGGGCTAGAATGCAACCACATAGTGTTAGGGCTGTATGTCTGACAGTTTCTAAGCATCACAATCAAGAACAAAACCATGTACACTAATATGTCAGGTACATTATATCTGGAAATCTCATAATGGATGAATGCAGAGATCTGAAGTACCAACAATGTAATTCGATAAGGTAAATGGACTGCAGCTGCTTGAAAGCTTGCTGTCTACTACCCACCTGGATGGTTTTAGAACAGTAGTGACCTCCTCTTTCTTGCTGATACTTCATCAATGCCTCTGCGGCTTTTCTCTCTTCCAGAGCTTGACGCAAGAAGAACTTTGAAATATTTGGTAGAGCCACATGCGACTGATCAAAATATTCACCCTAAGCACACAAAACAAGAGCGTTAAGATTTGCTGGAGATGGGACTCATTTGCAGAAGAATGTGGCTTTATTAGAACTTTGGAGACCTTAATCCAAAGGTTACAAATTTCTACAATAAATGAAGTAAGTAATTATGGCCTGAAATGAAAAATGTCTGCACTTCTACTAGAACTCCGGCCCTGCAATACTGGATAGGCAGCTGTAGTACTGATGTTACTCTCTCAGTAGCAGTCAGAGATCCTCAAAACGTTTTATTTATGAGTGGTTAGCATGTGTGTGTTTTGTAATTGTGTTTTGTCTAGGGTTTTTGTTTTGTTTTTTAAACATACTCGCAGCACAGGGAACGTAAGATTTATCCCTGCAGGTCAGCATTCCAGTTAGCTTTCAAAGGCATGAGAAAGATGATGTAAATACCAAAAAGAGAACAAGCATAACTTCGTATCTATTTATCAGCTTCATTATGGATGTTATTCCAAAATAATGAATACTGCTACTTAACTGTTCTGTATACACCTTCATTATATGTAGCTCATGCCTAGGAAGGCATGTCAGGAAGGACATAGACCTGTTGAAGCAAGTCCAGAGGAGGGCCCCCAAGTTGATTAAAATTTTTCCTTATGAGAAAAGGCTCAGAGAATTGGGATTGTTCAGCCTGGAAAAGAGAGAGCTTCAGGGTTACCTAACTGTTGCCTTCCAATACCTGAAAGGAGCCTACAAGAGAGATGGAGAGAGCAGGTAGTGACAGGACAAGGGGGAATGGCTTCAAACTGAAAAAAGGGCAGGTTTAGATTACATATTAGTAAGAAATTCTTTACTGTGAAGGTAGTGAGGCACTGGAACAAACTGCCCAGGAAAGCTATGGGTGCCCCATCCCTGACATGTCCAAGGTCAGATTGGAGCTCTGAGCAAGCTGGTCTAGTGGAAGGTGTCCCTAGCATGGCATTAGATGATCTCTGAGGTCCTTTCCAGCTCAGGCAATTCTATGATTTCAGAAGTATTAAAACCCTAAACTCAGTGCAGGCCTTGTTCTGTTCTGTATGGGAAAACAACAACTTTAACCACTGCCATATTTAACTGTGCTAACAGACCTATCAGCTCTTACATTAGAAGAGTTTTATCCATGGCATTGCTGTCCCATAAACAGAATGTATTAGAGACAAGGAGCAAAGGAGAGCCACCAGCTTACACTGGTTTGAACACTGGCTCTGATGGTGAGGAGAACGAGAGGCAGCAGCTGTGACTATGCCAAGAACCAAACTGAGGGAGCTACAGCATCTTCATCTGCTGGTTCCCTAAGTATGTATGTGCAACACACCACAGCTGTTGTCTCTTGGACACAACTCTGTTTTGGAGTACCTGTAACTGTGTATCAAGGAGGCTTGAAGCCTGCCTAAGAGGGGTAAGGAAAGAGGATGTGCATTTCTTAAGTTCTGCTTCTGATTGCGTTCCCTGCTTTCATCTATTACCCTGCTTAAATATGAAATACATTCATTTCAGTTATGTTGCTCTGTTTAGAAAAAAATGAAATGTTAAACACACAAGTTTATGTTTATTTCTTCTATTTGTATGGCCATTTTGAGACAATCGAAACGTGTGACACATGTGTGACCACAAACCCTTCAAGAGAAAGTACACACTGGAATGTTTTATTAAGAACATTCACTGCCATAGTTTGCATAATCCTTGTTTCCTGAAGTCGCTCATTGATGTTTCTGTTGACAGGATAGTCAAGATTCAGTGTTTTATAATCAGTTTCTCAGTGCCAGTGTAAGGCATGACTTCAAGTGGAGCACAAGTCAACACATCTGCTTAACTGTTAAGGTAAATCTTTTACATCAATAATTAGAAATTGACTGTGGATAAATCAAGTCCAGAAATGTAAACATCCTAAATAGTTAACTGAGCTTTCTCCATCCCATCCCACTCCCAATCACTAGAATTTTTTTTAATCTACAGACTTAGCAGGTAGATGTTTTACTGCATACTTAAATTTTTATTGAACTAATTCTTAACACCAAACTCAATTGAAGGCTCTTGGGGATACATTCAATATAGTTTGTGCTGTTTCCCAGTGGATGCTTGGCATCAGAAGGTATGGCATCGATAATTCTGATTTTTATATTTTAATGGCTGTGTTAAAATATATGTTGCCTTAACATTTGATAGGTAGCCGGAAGTAATTTTGGCATGCATGTTACATGGTATCAGAGATAACTTTTTTAATTTCATGTCTAAAGTTCATGCTGTGGAGCAGAAAACCCTAAGCCGGCAGCGACGTTCGCAAACTACAGTTAACCACGCACAACTATTTTACATACGAAGTTTGGGGGGGAAAAGCCACTCAAGAGCCATACTCCAGAGCTGTTAGCATTCTCTGTTCCTGTCCCTCTTTCCACAGGCAAAACTCTCTCTCTGAATTACCCAAAAACACACGAGCGCTCGTTTCGTCGCCCGCGTGTTCCAGACCTTCGTCGTTGTTTTTATGGCCGTGTCGGCGCAGGGGCAGCAGCGGCTCTGGCAGGAGAGCCCCCAAATGCCCTGGGTCTGGGAACAGACACCGCTCCGCCGTCCCTTGCCGACTCCGAGACCCTCCTCACCCCGCCGCCGGTGGCTGCCCGGCCAGGGCGAGACGGGGGGGGTCCCACGCCGCGGCCCTGGCCGCCTCCCGTGCCCGTCCGCGCCCCGCCGCCCTTACCAGCGCCTGCAGGCAGTAGTGGAGCTCCAGCTGGGCGCCGGTGACGCCGCAGAGCGCCTCCTCCACGGCGGCGGGGAAGCCGTGGCGGACGCGGCTGGCGGGCAGCGGGCGGTGCGCGGGGCAGGCGGGCAGGGTGACGCGGGGCCGCTTGGAGCGCGGCTCGGCCATGGCCGGCGCCGCCATGGGGCCGCCGCGCCGCCCCGCCGAGCCGCCTCATATAGCCCGGGCACCTGGGACACACCTCGCCGCGCTCCCCGGCGCCCGCCCGCCCTCGCCGGGGGAGGAGGAGAAGGAGGATGCGGATGCGGGGGGGCCGGGCGGGTGCTGCCATTTCCTGCGTGCCCGTGGGCAGGCGGTGCGGGGGCTCTGTCCCTTGCGGCAGTGGGCAGGTGTCGGCCGGGCCGCTCGCTCCACTGCCCGTTTGTGAACATCCTGAATAGTTAATGATCGACATAAAATACTTACTTTAACTGCAAAGTAGACGTATTAACTTGTGCTCCATTTGCAGTCATGCCGCACACTTGCTCTGAGGAAGTGGTTATAAAACACTGAATCTTGACTATCCTGTCGTCAGAAACATCAGTGAGTGACTTCAGGAAACAAGGATTATGCAGATCCTGCGATGAATGTTCTTAATAAAACATTCCAGTGTGTACTTTCTCTTGAATGGTTTATGGTTGCACATGTGTATGTGTCACAGGTTTGTGGTGTTTCAAGATACCATAAAAATATAAGAGAAAAACATAAACTTGTGTGTTTGACGGTTCTTCATTTTTTTCCCTCTAAACAGAGCAACATAACTGAAATGAACATATTTCATATTTAAGCACGGTAATAGATGAAAGCAGGGAACGCAATCAGAAGCAGAACTTAAGAAATGCACATCCTCGTATCCTTAGGCAGGCTTCAAGCCTCCTTGATACACAGTTACAGGTACTCCAAAACAGAGTTGTGTCCAAGAGACAACAGCTGTGGTGTGTTGCACATACATACTTAGGGAACCAGCAGATGAAGATGCTGTAGCTCCCTCAGTTTGGTTCTTGGCATAGTCACAGCTGCTGCCTCTCCTTCTCCACACCATCAGAGCTGTGCAGAGCCAGCGTTCAAACGAGTGTAAGCTGGTAGTGGCTCTCCTTTGCTCCCCGTCTCTGATACATTCTGTTTATGGGACAGCAATGCCATGGATAAAACTTTTCCAGTGTAAGAGGTGAGCCCATTTGTGGGCAGTCACATTTGGCACCTCCAGTACCAGCTGCTGCGTGTGAGAGTGCTGCGAGGCCAGGCCAAGGCTGGAGCAGCTGGGGGGAGCACACAGGTTGAGGCAGTCTGGGGGAGGGACCAAGCTGTGAAAAATTCTGGGAACTTAGTGGAATGTCTGTCTTTGCTACAGGGTAAATTCTGTAGCTTTTTTGATTTAGCACTAAAAATGTTGGTCCTACCTAGGCAGTGTAAACCATTTTCAGTATTTTAGTAACTGATAGTCCTTGGTTTGTACAGTAACTTCAAAATACAGGTTTCTGACTTTTTCAACTGCTTTACCGTATGGATGGAGCTCAGCATGTTGTTGCTTTATTTGAGCGTTTATTTACCTTTAATAGATTCAAAACAGTGGAGTGGAAATATGAGTAATCTCAACACCTTTCAAAATTGCTAATATTTTGTTCAGTGACTTTGTTTAGTAAGCTCGATGTTATATGCCGTTCTGTGGAATATTTTTCTAGCAGATTACCCCACTTCCCCACAAACGCAGGATGCTAAGGGCAGAATCGTTATTCCATTGCGTGTTTTAATTGTTATTGGATCTGACTACCTAGAGCAGAGCACGCATCATCTGAGAGTAGTCATGTAAAGATGTGAGAACATTGCTCATGAGAAACTTAAGTAATTCTAGTTCAGCGGTTCCATCTCATATGCTATTCAGCCCTCTTTGTTTATCGTAATTATCCATTTTTTCATTCTCACTCTTCATGCTGTATTTAAATTAGAAGTTCCCCTTAAAAAAACCTAACCATGTTTAAGCATTTGCTTACTTTAGGCATTTGAATAAAATTGCATGAGCGTAAAGTATACATCCAATGTTTGCAAGGCTAAAGTAAGTGCCTAAATTAATTGTTTCACTTAGTTTCAACAAATTCATTGACAAGACACTTGTTTTCAATAAGGGTCCTCTTTGTCACTGGAGCTCCTAGGGACGATGTACTTCTAACAGTTACCTTTTAGCTCTTTCCATTCCAACTGTCCTTGTTTTAGCCATTAAAATAGTTGCTAGTGTTTTATTATTCCAGAATAATCCTTTGACTGCCTCAGAAGAGGAAGAGCAAGTATGGTGGTGCCTGTGTGTGTATGCATTGACATCCCAACGGAAATAAATGCTTGATAAGCTCCTTTCTTTGGCCAGTCCGAATAATTTGAAGTGTGAAATTGCAACAGAAAGCAAGTTAGCTCATGTCCCTGTGGAAAAGTTTGTAGCTGTGCTTTGCTAAGTGGGTGTTCATGACAATAATTTCTAAGCATATTAGCTCATAGAAGCTTTTGTCTATATTAGTGGACTTCAGTCCTCTGCAAAACAATAATAAGTTGTCCCATTTGAGTGATGGAGAGCTAAGACACAAAAGCATTGCTTGAGGCCATTTATTATATGTGGAGCTGATCTGAAAACTGACTAAAATTCCTTAATCTCCATATATCCCTTAACCCCTCCTTTCTATGAGAACACTATTCAATTTATTTTGCTTTGTGCTTCATAGAACTAAAGGAAATACACATAATTTGTGCTGTTATCAAATGTATTATGGAAAAATTCTATTACAAAGTAATATAGGGATTCTTGCTATGTAGGATGAGGGGATGTCACATGCTGATTGTATCTGGACTGAGGAAAGTATCATCCATTTCAAAAAACTTGTGATCTCAAGTCTCAGTTTTCAAGAAATGCTGTATCCTGGGGAACAAGTGCTTTGTTCAGTTTCTTAGTTATAACATTTCAGCACAGCATAGCTGCCTGCTAGCAGGTGAGGCTGCTTTTAAGATAGTTTGCTTTTTTTCTCATCTGTCCTAAACTGAAGGGAAGGTGGTGGTGACTCTCTCCCAGACTGTGTGCTGCAGAGATGTTATTACCTGCTTAGGGTAACAGTGTCTACATGTGACTGTGATATAAGTGAATCTGTATTAGAGCCTTATTCCCACCAAGTCCTGAAATATGAAGGTACTTTGTGGATTTCTTCAGTGAACTGATGTTGGGGTGAAGATGGTTGGACACTGAGTGATCTGGACTGAGGGAAAGCAAGAACAGATAGTTATGTGCAGGTCATTGCAGAAAGGGTTGATGACAAATGTAAATAGAGTTTGTGACTGGCACATGCCTTGATGAAAGATGTATTTTAATTTTTAGAATTTGGCATGATTCTGGTACAACACATTTTAAAGTGTGTTGAAAGTGCATGGCAGAGTGGAAAGCCAAACCACCACAGTGTGGTATACAGAACTGCAATTAAAATTCCAGCAAAAAAACTCTCCAACATGCACACCCACACCTTCCCCACCCCTCTCCACCCCCTTTCCTTTTTATTCTTTGGCAGTGTGCAGCAGAGAGGACTGTTAATGTCAGTGAGATTTAGCAATCCTCTCAAAATATCCCTTCTCGTGAGCCTACTTGCAAACATTTAGTTGTGTCTGGGCTTTTTGTACCTTGAATCTCTCATTTAAAGTTAGGCTCTTTAGGCTACACTTTGTAATCTGCAGTTGATATTGTTTATTCTTTCACCACAGGTAGTAAGATTTGGGGCTGTTGCTTCTGTCCAGCTACCATCTGTTAGGTTCTTTCTAGCTGTGATGGATTTTTCATGTGCTTTGCAAATAGTCCATGTAATGTTGCCAGACTTTCTCTCATGTGATCATTCAGTGCCCATCAATAGCTATGATGGAAACAGAGGGAAAAAGTGAGAAACAAATAAATGTATGATATGTGTGCCTGTGAATTAGCCTTCTTCATTCATCACTTTGTTTTGTAATTAAGTGAAACCAAAGCTCTCTGGCAGGAAATTAAAAATTATTCATACAAACACCCATGAATTTGCAATTGCTTTTATTGAAGTCACTTAACCCATTTTTCTAATGCTTTTCTGTTCTCAACAGGTGCTTCACCTTACTATTTTATCCAATCTCACTCTTTTTTACTTCCTTTTTCCCCAGAGGAAAAGCCAGCAAGAATTCTGGCTTTTCTGGCAAAAATTGTTTTGTTGCCTTTTTGCACCATGTGACTCATAAAGTTAAAAAAGAAGCCTGAAATTTGGGAGGTTACTACTTAAGTAGGCATAGCAATATAACTACTTTTAACTGTCTCTCAGTTAAGGTAGTCATCAGCAAAACATGAGATGGCCCTGGGAGGCAACAGTGTTATGAAACGGCTGTGAGGTGGACATTCTGGAAAATGCTTTTTGTCTGTATGTCAATGAGCAAATGGAAAGGTCCAGTTTGTTGTAGTGCTGTGAAATCAGCATGTTTTAGTGATAAAAAAAAAGGGTTTCCCAAAAGTAAAAGCCTAGACCTTTTGAAGTCAGAGCTGTCTTGGTATCAAACAGAGCAGACAGAAGCCTATTTTTGGGGTTATAGGTGCTGAAAATTACTATGCAGTGTCAGATCTACACATATTTTGTATATATTGAGTTTAATAAAATGAAGTACCATAATGAAATCCTATTTGAAAAATACTTGGATTAACTGTAATTTTGGAAGTAAAATTTAAATTTGGAAGTCTTCTTTTGGCATTCACCTCAAATACTCCAAACCTTAGTTTTCAATTGCTTTCCTTTTCTAGAGTCAAAGATTTTCCTCTCATTGATATTTTTGTGTTTGCAAAATCTCGATTACTGCAGTGTTTGAAGCCAGATGAGATGCTTAAGGATGTTCTTATGACTGGAAAGCACCATGTCTTTTTTGCCTTTATTGAGTTTTCCCACTTTGCATCAGTAGCCTGATAAAGTTGCAACCCTTTGTACCTCTGATATGGCTTTTATCTCGGGCGGTTCCTTTCCATAGGCTTCCTTGACTCAAGTCTGCATAGCACATGTATTGAGAAGCTCATTGCCTTTCTTCTTTTGCAATGAAGTTCTTCCTTAAGGAACTTTACAAATGCTGGATAATATAAACCATGGTTTTATATATATATTTATATATATTTTTATATATATATAAAATATATAGGGAATATATATAGAATTCTTTGAAACTGTACTGATTGAAATCTGTCTTTCAAACAGAATATGCCAATAGCCCACAGGCATATCTATGCTGTGTCTAAAGCTAACACAGGAGACTAGCTTGTAAGGATTTCTGAAATATAAGAAAAGCTTATCTTTAACCTTGTGTCACAACAGTGGTCAGTCAGACTTGTCCTCTCCATTTGCTTTCACTCTTCCTTCTCTGGACCACTGAGAAGGCTTCATGCCAAAAGTGGGTTTGGGGTCTGTGTGTGTGGTCAGTCAAGCCTAGAAGAGGTAAGTGCATCTCAGCAAACTGCATTGCCAGACTCCTGGCTGTGACTGTTGTCCTGCTCTGACCTGGTTTGCATTTGACACCTTCAGCTTTCACGTTCCATCTCAAGTCCAGTTGCACGTGGCCATGTTTGTGTGACTGCCTACATGTGTGTAGGCTTCTTAGTGATGGGTCTGCAGGTCAAACTAAGCCGTGGCCATTATTTAACTCGTGTCTAGAAGCTGTATGTCACTTTTTTCTCTTAAGCACGTATTACTCTCTCCAGTGCAACTTTCAGTGTTGATGAATCACTTGCACTGAGTTGCTCTCTCCATGTCTTTTCTCCTCGTATTTATAAAATCATTAGATGTGCAGACTCAGCTTCTCAGCTCACCTGTGTCTTTAGGAGCCCAGCCTCTGCCACCACTCAGGAAGCCCATGGTTTGTCTTGGGCAGAGGCAGCAGGGAGAGCTGGAGCCTGAGGGCTGTCTGTGCTCCCAGCCTGGTGGCTGCAGAGGACTGGCAGACTGTCTGAGTAAGCTCCAGCCTGGCCAGCAGTGTTGGCCCTTCAGTCACCATTTTCTCTTATAAATACATTTAAGCTGTAAGTGGACTATTCATTTGAAGTGGTATTGGCTGATACACCCATTTGATTTTTATAAAAAGGCTGTGCTTGGGAGTAAGTTTGAATAAATTGTCAGGGTTCATCTGCCTCTGAGATCCTGCAATTGTTATTTCAAGTCACATTTTGAAAAGCATAGGCCAGCAAACTTAAGGCTCATCCATGCAATCTGTCCATGATGTATCATAAGTCCAGTCACTAATTGCAGGTTGAAGCCACTAAGCCTCAGCACTGGAGCATATTTAAGGGAGTTCTGTGGAGTTTCTGAAAACACATGGCTCACCCTAGGCAATGAGTTGCATAAGGGAGTTGTGCAATGCCAAACTGCCTAAAGTCTGTCTTAATTTATATTCCTTGCCTTTCTACTCTACCTTCCTTTCCACAGCTGCAGGTAAAAATCTGCACTTACTCTTGGACAAATGAGAAAATAAGACTTGACATGTTGAAAAAGGCAGTGGCTTTTTTTTTTTTTTTTGCACAGCCTGTGCCATCTGAAATCAGTGATGCAGGTAATGCCTTCCAGGCAATGTAAACTTCAGTAAGTGCTCCAGGTGGCCCTTGAGGGAGCATTAGACCTACCTCTTTGAGGTAAGCATAAGGTGGTGCACTTTGTACATACTTGGAATATCTGGGCTAGCAGAAGTAAAAAAATTAGTTCAGCTGGTTAGAGCATGGTGCTAATAAAACCAAGGCTGTGGGTCCAATCCCTGTATGGGCCATTCACTGAAGAGCTGGACTCGGGTCCCTTCCAGCTTAGAATATTCTGTGAAATAATTCTGTGAAATAAACTGTGGGCAAGGGATGAAGATGCAGAAACCATTTATTGCTCCTCTATGCTACTGATAATCAATGTTCATAGTCCCTGCTAGTACAAGAGCACTTGCTTCTGAAGTTCAGGTACTCCTGGGAGTTAACTGGTTTGACTAATGCCACTTGCTACTTGGCTTGAGAGAGAAGAAATTAAAGCCACAGGTGTGGTAAGAGGAGTGTGAAATGTTTGCAGGTGAAGAGGAAATGACTCTAAATATTTTGGCTTTTGCAGTCACCAAAAAACCCCAAATGAACCCTTTTCACAATTTTTGTGAAAAAGAATCCTTTCAAAGTTTAAGGGAAATTGCTTGAGAAAAAAAAATGTCAAAAGGTTCTTTATTTGCAACTTTAATGTGAACATTCATCAGCTAAATGTTTGTTTTAAATTTTTTATTAATATGGAGTCAATGGTGGTGAATCAGGCAAAGCAGAAGTGGATAATTTCACTGAAACGCCATAGACCTTAAAGGCCATGCTAAATTCCAATGAAGTAATTCCTCTTCTAGTTCCAGTCAAAAATGACCCTTTATTGCTGCTTTCTGTTCAAAGCACCTCTACTAGGCCATCTAAATTGTGTAAGTGTTGTGATTCCCTAGGGTATCTCTTTTCCTATAGTTTTCTGCCTAATTCCATTTTAATAGCTTTAAATACATTAAAAAAATCTTGTAATGATACATATTAGATTGTAGTCTGTTTGTGGCACTATGTCCCAGGCAAAGTCTTTTGTGCCAACTTGCAGTTCTTTTTTCAATTTCAGTATCTTTATGCAGAGCACTTGCTGAATTGGACATTATCCTCATTTCACTGAAATCATGCGATAAAACTCGGAATATGTTTGGCTCCTATCAAGGCAGTCAGCACCATTAATTAGTAATCTTGGGAAGTTATTTAGGCTGGTCTTTAGGTCACAGTGGCATTACTCACAGTGATGTAGTGAAATGCTTTACTTTTTGATTTTTTAACCACTGCAGTTGCTATCTTTTTTTAGAATTTAGAAATTACTGTGCTGAGTATTTACAAATTTCACAGCACATTTTGTTCTCTGTTTTAAATCCTGCATACCAAGTGCCTGCCTGGGGCAAAGACAAAAAAAAAAAAGTTAGCTTTGATACTCCAAAACTGGTTGAATAAATCCCGTGCAGCTGGCCTGCGTGAAATGTGCCCAGTGACAGCAACCGCAGCGAGGATTCAGAGGGTTAGGGAGAGCTCTGTGCTGTCACATGCTTGCAGTGTTTTATTGCTTTGGCTGGGAAGGGCAGTAACGTGTAGGTATCCTGACTGCTCAGTATTAAGCGTGCAGAGTGATTGCCCTGTGGTTCCCTGAGGCATGTATGCGGACAAACCTGATGCACAAGTGTGCAATATTGCCTTCTGTGTATGTTTGTACATGCTTTGGTGTTTTCTGATTTTGGAACTGTGGTTAAAGCCTCAAAGGGAATCCGTGAGTCTGCAGCAGCTGAGAATACTGCTAGAATTTCTAGCAGTGGATGTTCCTGTGTGGTTGTGTGTCTGTCCCATCACTGGTGAGGAAATGGCATTGCCTGGCCTGCACTGCAGTGTTTGTCAAGGAAAATTCTTGGAGACTTATTTAAATAGTCAACACAGTACGGTTTATACTTGTGTGTGCTTGTGGATGAGATGCCAGGAACTGTTACGGACCGGAGACTTTTTTCTACCTGTGCTGTTCTCACCACCAGCTCTGTTCATCCAACTGTCTCCACTTGGCCTCTTTTTGTAATATAACCAAGCTGAGACATAGTCTCAAGGGGAAAGTGACTTAAATCTGAATCTTGGAAAGTCGTGAATTAAAAGATACACAGTTCAGGAAAATAATTTTTGGAATACAAAGCTATAAAGGCTGTGACTGGTTCACATGACCAACTTGCAGTTAGGTCACATTTTCCTCTAATAGTGCATCAACACTTGAAAGGCTGTTTTTACTCATGTTGCTTTTGGCAGTGCTCTGTGGTGCCACTTTTGTGAATCCAGCTCCATTCTCAGGCTCCAGAATGCTTCCAGGTTCTCTAGGAACAGGCACAAGAGTAACTGCAAGGAGTGAGACCAGATTTACAGAAGTGACCTTTGGAACTCAGAATGGCAGGACTCAGAAAAGAAGAAAATATAGAGGCTTTCATTAATACAGGCATTTATCAGAAATGCATAAAAAGGGACTTAAAAAAGAGATTTGTATGTATTGGGTGGTAAACAATTTTTCAGCAAAATGAGATAAGAATAAAACTTTCCTTGGATCCAGTTTGGCCAATAGCTGCTTCTGTCAAGGTTTTTTTGCACTCTTCCCATGTCATCCTGTAGTGGTCATATATTGAAATTACGCAGTGGCCTATAGGTACCACGGGCCTGAGCAAGTACAAGGCAATTCTTATGCTGCCTGTGCTGAAAGTTTTCTCTTAATGGACCTTGATGGGTTTTGGTTTGATTTGTTCCAGAGTGGGATCACCCTTGTTCCAGTTGATGCATGCTCATGATCTGGACCCCACAGCTCAAGCAAGACTGAGGGACAAATCTTGTCAGGCAATGGTAAGATTGTGTTACCTATGCAGAGGAGGATGTTGAAATCTGGTATATGTAGCTTCTGACTTTCAGCTGTTTGGTCTGAAGCAAGGGACAGAAAAGTTTCTTTTCTTTATTGATGTAAGATCAATGCAGAGCAAAGAGAGGAGGTGAAAAATCCTTAGGAAAATAAAAAGAGAAGCAGCACTGAGAGTGGGCCAAATATTTTACTCATATATGTGAGCATTACTCATATAACTTCAAGAGAGTACATGCTTTAACTGTGCATGTACCAGCTGAGGACTTGGCCCATAATGTCCTTTATAAAGCTCTGATTCCTCCCCAAATAGTTTTTCCCTCCCTCTTCAAAGAGGCACCTGTTGCTGGTGGAGTTGTTGATGATACTGGATTAGTGCACATGCAGTCAGCCTGCTTGGCCTCGGCCCTTTGGACCCAAAATGAACTCCAGCTGCTGTTGCCTAGAGCAGGTGCTTCATCCAGCCCTAGCAGCTGTTTGAATGTAGGCTGTCATGGCCAAGAGGAGGGGGTAGGTCCCCTGAAGTACCCAGAGGAAAGACTCATCAGCAGGAAGGAAGGAAAAGGGAGTGTGCCATGGAGACCTGATTTTTATACCCATTGGACAAAAGTTGTTCTAGCATTTCCTAGTGGAAATAGGGAATAGTCACTCACTCTGCATCCACTGAGCCTGCCCAGTGCCATGATGGATTATGGTTCCCAAAATGAGGTTGACGGACCACTAAAGACCAGCAGAGCCAAGACAAATGATTGATCACCAAACTGCCAAACCTGTGTTGTCCCTTGAAGCTATGGTATAGGTATGTGATGGTGTGTGAGACATTTTAAGGGTTGGTAGTGTTTCACAGTTATTCAGTCTCTGTAGTTGCTGGTTTAAAGCTTCAGTGAGTGGCCCAGCAAAAATGACATTGGGCACAGAACAGTGTACAGGCTAATGGTCTGCTACATGTAACAGCTTGGGATTCACACTCACACTGCCAGAGAGAAGAAAACAAAAACAAAGATAATCTGGGGTATGAAGCAGTGACAGGAGACAGTGCCAGGGGAATGGAGGATGAGAGGACGACCTGGGGGCATATAGAGATGTGATGGTGGGGAGGTATAGCTATAAAAGGATCATTCGGGCCATATTTCATTACAGCATGGCCTAAGAGCAGGAGAAAAACATGAATATTGGAGGCCTCTCTTTGTCAGGAAATGGGATTTCCGCAGGTGCTCAGTTGCAAATACTCCGCATGCTTCTAAGGCTTGGCACATGGCATTGCTGAATCCTGATTCAGGATGCAAGAATGTTTCATGACCCCTGCCATGAAAACTGCTGTCTGGCCATGTTTGGAAATCAGCCGTCGATGATGACAGTAGACGAGTATGGGTGAAATGAGCAGCTTGGCTTCAGCACTAAGCAAGACTTGTTAAACATTGTAAATACAGATGTCCAATTCATATTTTGAATAATGAATATTATGAACTTTTCTGTAACAAGTGGTAAGAAGCTGGATCATCTTTCTTCATCTGCTCACTGCCCTCACAGAATTTGAAAGTGTGACGAAGTATTTCATTCCTTTACAGGATTAGGTAAGATTGGTAACCATAACTCTTGTATAGAATTACATAGAAATACTCTGGACAGCCAAATGTATTGATTTAAGATCATCTATGTGGTGGGAGGGAAATTGTTTCCATTTTGGTTTATCCACTTCTTGGGTTGGTCAGGTAATCCAGCTGACTTCAGTTGTTTGTTCTTTTGGACAAAAAGCTGCTGCCGGTACAGGCCTGTACAATTTCTGTCCCAGTGTAGCTCTTCCATCAGGTATTTCTCTTATTTGTTTTGCTTCTGCATGAAAATTAAGGAATTGGAGAAATAGCACCAAAACTCTACATGAATGAAATTCTCAAGGCTGTTAAGGAAATAGATATATTAGAAATAGGGTGTTTCTGTGCTCATTCTGTTCTCACATCCCTTGGACAAGTCACTGTTCCGCGTGGAGAGAAACATCGCACACGACTGTTAGGAGTGTGTGACGTATCTCTGTGAGAGGGGAAGACGTCCCCTGATGTGCTCCTTGTTACTATCCATACATGTTTGCCCCTTTGAGTAAATTACAGCTCCCTGGTGTTGCTGTGGGTGTATCAGCAATAGTTCCCCGCTGCCTCCTTATCTGCCTGGTAGTGTGGCTGGGTAATGCCCACACCCACTGGTGATGAAGTGGCAGGTGTTGCCCTGCCTCCTGCCTCTGTCCTCCTCTTCCTCAGACTCCTTGCACTGTGGCATGACTCAAGAATAATGAAAATGCAATTTTCTATTCTTTGGGGAGTAGTAAATTTTTGCTAAAAAACAAACCAAATGCCATTCTCAGAGTGGCCCAAGATCTGTGTTTCAGTGTGGCAGCACATTTAATTTGATTTTTCAGGTATTTTTAACCACCTACATGTGACTAAGAATTTTTTGAAGCATCTGTCTTTTGCTGATTAAAATGTAATTAGGTACCAAGGAGCTTTAGGATTTAAACCATTCCCAAGAGATATGTGGCAATGTCCAGTGTCGTGTCTGGTGAGGAACAACAGAGTGAAGCAGTTTGGGTGTAGTAAGTCATAATGTACTAATTGCTGGATTAAGACTAAGGAAATAAAGAGCCTGTTAGCAGGCCTCCACGTTTTGAGTATCTGGAGAGCAGGGGGGCTCACTTTGTATGAGGCCCATATTATGCTGTGCAGGGATTCCCAGTTCAGGGTCAAAAATACTGGAAGTGCCCTTTTACCATGGAGCTGACAATTAGCTTGCTGCCAGAGGGAAAACCAGTCTTTAAGTGGTGAGTGAACATGGTATCAGAAACAGACCTTGACAGAGGGGCAACACACAGTCAGACCGAGTGACATTCTTCACACCTGCTGTGGTGGATAACAGTAGCTGGCTGACTTACCCCATGGCACTACAAGCACAGCATTGTGCTGTGACACAGCCTGGACAGAGATTGAATTACACACCGATTAGGTCTTCGGCTTCTCCCTGTCAGTGTGGACAATGGAGAATCAGAGAAGTGGACACGAGAGCTTTAGCAGGCCTTGTGCTCTCGATCGGAGGAGGATTAGTTTGTAAATGGTAAATTGTGTTGGGGCCAAGAGTCGTAAAACTGAACTCTTGCCCTTCTGCTGCCTCAAAGGCACAGGCTTTGCAGAAAACTCCTTCTCCCCCCTTCTACTAACTGCTGTGATCAGGGGAGGGGTGGACACATGGAATCTGCTCCTCCTTTTCTCTGCCAAAGAAGGAGGAAGACACTGGTACATTTGTACAAATTTTGCTCCTCAGTATCTCTTACTATCTTTTCTTAGGAAGGGTGTGGGATTAAATTAATCAGTCTTCTGCCATTTCCACAGGGATACGGATTTGCCTGTCATGGAGGTGCTGCTGGCTGGGTCACTGCCTGGTAGAGGGTGTCTCTTAGACCTGATGTAACCTGAAGCATGTGCTTTCTTAGGAGGTCTACAGCTGGGCTGGAGAACTGCAAATGTTCATCCTTTCACTTCTGTCATCTGCTTCCACATGACTGCAGTGTCTGTGCTGTGCTCTCAGCTCACTCACCCTAAAATGCTCCTTGCGATGGTTTGTACTGAGCTGCTACAGAGCAGACTTTGCTTTTGGTGGCAGTATCCCTTGTTGTGTCATCTATAGAAAAGATTACTTCATCCTGGCCTTTATTCCACTGGGACCAGCTGCTCTACACACAGCAACCAAAAGTGGCAAATACCTATAACCTCTTTCAATTTCCTATTGAAGGTCTACATCACATGAACTTCTTGGGGTTTTTCGAGAGGTAAAGCTTTTTTATTTTTTACAAACAAACAAAAAAAACCAAAAACCCCCAAAACCACAAACCAGAAACCAACCTAAAACCAACAAAACCAAAACCTACCAAAAAAAAAAATAAAAATCAAACCCCACACATTAAACCCAAGTTGGAGAAACAGCTGCATCATGTGACTGATACAGAGCATGGGAGTACAAAGCATTCCCACTCTGGTCTTGCACATCCAGTCATTGTGCCTATTAATAGCTGTTAGGCATGAGTGTAGACATGGAGATGGGCAGGACTAGTTTTGCCATGTGAACATTTATCTGGTAGCCTCATCCTATTTGCTAGAACCAGAGATTTCACTGTGATAAAGTGGACATCTTAAGTCATTGTTGGAGACAGGAGGATGTAGGTTCACTTAAACTAAGCTGGTATTAGGCATTCTCATATCTTGGAGTATTCCAGTAAATAGCAATTTATATAAGCAATGGAAATATGTCCTTCTTAATCTGTAAAAAGAAAAGGACAGCCTTAATGATCTCTCAGTGTTTCAAATCATCTTAAGGCAAATTGATCCTGAATCATCACAGAAAAATTCAGCAGAGGTGTTTCTATTAGTGATCTAGGAATTTAGATGTGGTTGGATACATGGAAAACTGTATCTTGTTCAGTTGTATTTATTACTGTAATAAATGATACCAACTCTCTCTTCCTACAGACTTTATCTTTTCTGTTCATAGTGTTGGCATTTTATTTTGTTTTGAGTTGAGAAACAATGCAGACTGTAAGTTTGTAAGAGGCTTTTATGAATATACCATTTAAAAAGAGTTGTTCCTGCTCTGGTTACTAGTTTGAATTGAGAAAAGATACTTATATTTCATGCTCCTGAAAGCAATAGCAGATTTGCTGTAATACACCAGTTCGGAGTAATCTGCTCATAAACTTTCCGTTCCAGAAAACTCCCAAACCTCTTGCACCTATTTTCTCTGATAGGTGGCAAATCCTTAGTACTTCTCAAAAATATTCAAAATTCTGTAGGGTATGAAGGCTTTGCTTTGGTTTATTTTTTGTAAAGCTTGATAAAAAAACACGAATGAGAGAAATCCATCTGTTGCTCAATGCAATCACTGCTGATAACTGAGAATTCATTTTCAAAGTTGGAAAATAAGAGCTATTCTAAGTAGTCACTGTTGGTTTTAACACTATGGGGTATTTAAAAGATAAGTTTTAAAGGAAAAAAAAGGAAAAACATTCATTCATGAGTGCTGATACAGGAATGACAGAGGTTAATACCACTGACATCATGTTGGAACTGTATAGCATTTTCTTAATGGTTATTAATGCCCTGCTGCTGGGAGACAGACAGTGCCAGCTGCCAGTTAGTGTGGTGCCTCTGAGGGTGTGCCTGGGCCTCTGCTCAGAAAGGAAAGGGGCCTGAGGAAGGTTCAAGTTTGCTCCCTCCACTGAAACAGGAGGAGAGGAGATACTGAGAGAAGGTAGTTGCAGCTCGTGCTCCTGTGTATGCTGACTTCAGAATAGGACTCAGAGAGTGAAGCAGGAGCAGCAGATATCTACAGAGCTGTGCCCAGGAGATACTGAGAACTTTGGTTCAATTCAGATCTTCAGGACTAAACTCAAATATCCTTTGGAAAAAAACTGCAAGAAATTGAGACAAATGTGCATGGAAATGATGCCAGTAGGCCTGGGGAAGAAGCCTAAGTTCATGTAAGAGAGCGTTAGAGCTTTGTACATCAGTGGAAAGACGTCAGAAATGGTATAGGGAGAAGGAGAAAAGCCCTTGAGAGGAAGGGAAAGGAACTCTGTAATGGCAGAATGATGATGGATATGGAACAATTAATTAGCTTTGACTACATCATATTCGTTGCACATCCAGATTTGTGGGTTTAGCTGCCTCACTTGGGGCTAGCTGTTACTCTGCATAATACCTTTGAATTTCATACATCATAAGGGAATGAAACAGATACAGAAAAGTGCAATACATCAGTGTAGCATATCAAATTGAGAAAGGCATTTTTAGCAGTCTGTGCTGAATGCAGGTTTAAGCCTGCATTAGATTATTCCTTAAGTGTATTGTTGTTATGACAAATCTGAAAGGAGCTAAAAGCATTTCAGTAGATCAACAAAGGAAACTTTGATTTCCTTTCCCACAGCCTGGACCCAAAATGGGATTGCCAGACAGGCTTACATGCCCTGGCCGTGTACCACACAATCACCCACTGGTGAAAGTGAGTGGAACATGTGGAGATGAGTTGTAAATCCTGCAGGAGGAACCGGCTCACCAGGCCTCTCCAAATCATTCAGCTTCTAGATCTCTTTAAATGCTGGTGTAATGTAACCTGAATAATACACTGAGAACGTTTAGCCAAGAAATGCCTGGTGGCCATTTCATTTTGATAATGGATGCTGTCTGATGTGCCACACAGACAGCAGGCATGTGTCATATTCTCTATTATGGTAAGAAAAAAATAGTATATCACTACTTATGTTTTCTAAAAGGGGAGATGAGTTGTTTGATTCCATGAACATCAGGTTTGGGGACACAATTTCATGAAAAAGCCCATTAATTTTGCACACTCATTAATTATTAGAAATAAATGGAAACATCCATGTAATATTGTACATGTACTCTCCAGTTATATAGCCTAATATTCAAGCACAATGATTTGTATGGACCCTATTTTCTCAGGTCCCTTTTACAAATAGAATTGCTCATACAAATAGTTTCCAGTCAGTTCCCTTCAGTGCAACATCCTGAGCATGCCCAGCAGGAGCAGGAGGTCACGGGGTGCGGTTGTTCCCCGCTGCACAGCAGCCTGAGAGATGGGATGGCATTGGAAGAATTGTATCCAGTTTTGGTCTCCCTTGTATGACAAAGACGTTGTCATACTGGAATGGGCCACCAAGGTGAGGGGCTGTAGCCTGTGATATGCCAGTAGGGAACTGGGCTTGTTCAGCCTGGAAAGGTGATCTCTCTGTCCATAGTCATCTGCTTGGAGAGTGTGTGGAAGGTAGAGTCCCATCTGTGTTGGACAGCAAATACCTCGGGCAAAAAGCCCAAGTTGGAGCAAGGGCAATTCAAAGGAAGTGGTAGAAAAAATATTCCCAAAGAACATGCTAAGGTTTGGAACTGGGACCTAGAAAGGAGGTGGCTTCTCTGTCCTCGGAGATGCTCAGAATTCGTACTATTGATTGACTAACTATTACTGCAATAATAGTTCTCAATTAAAAAGATAAATGGAACTATTTGCAGAGGGCATTTTTTCCCAGTGTAATTTTTAGTGCCTTGAACTCCATGAGAATAGAGAATTTTCTAATGGAGCTTACTATGACCTGGCTTAGAGTAGTTTTGGGCATGCACTGGCATGAAACAACAATTGCAATGCCAATAATGTAAATACATGTATTTAACAGTAGTTTCATTTTTTAAGCCTATTTCAGCTACAAGCATCATCCATGTTAATTTTTCAGTGTCATCATAACTGCAGTTAAATTGTTTGTCTGGTTTTAAGGATTCTCTTTAATGGTAGCTAACTAAAACAGTTCATGTTGTTCTTTTCAGTAGCTCAGACTTCTACAATTACTACAAAAAATTTGCAAGGAAAAAAAATGTGTAACCGAACATGATTATTTTGAAGAAATTCAGAATGAAAGTAAGAGTGGAATTCAAGAAAATAGACTCTCACTCATTACTTTCTAATCTTTGATTACTCTTTCATTTTGTTGGTAAATACTATTTAGAAGATTTCAATTGCAGGGACTGAAGCTTGACTTTTCATTTGCATTTCAAATCTTAGCAAATCAAACAAAAGCAGAATGAAGGTAGGGAAGCCTCCACTCATTCCAGCACAATCAGTGCAGCATAGCCCCTGCAACCCACTGTATTTCTAGGCTTTGCCTCTCTTGACATTTTTCTTTTGGGGATGGGGAGAAAGAGGAAAATTCGCCATGAAGAGTTAATCTCTCATTCCCACTAGAATATTTTAAGATAATTGGCAAACTTGTATTTTGCACATTTACCATTTCCTAGTCAAATAACTGTTGTTATTTATATTTAAATAACCGTTAGTTGTTCCTAATTCAAATAACTGTTGTACCACAGAGAGTACTGGCACAAAAAATAGCAATGCCGGAGGACAGTAGTAGCAAAACTCGTAAATTGTTACTTCTGAGCTTACTGCCTCAAAAAATGAGGAGCAACTTTATGTAGATTTGTATTTTCTGAGCTAATGTGCAGAGTCCTAGGCAGACTAAACAAAACCTCAAATCCAGCAATTTATGTTGTTGGTTTTTCCATTGTCTATGGTCACTGTGCACTGAGCAAAGACAGCAGAAAGTCAATTAGTCCAGTCCTATTCCATAGCAGGAACTTACAATTGTTACTTACAATTAACTCAGCTGCAAATGACCCCTTTATTCTCCTCTTCCAGATCCAGTTCACCTGAACCTTCTCCAGCTGGAAACCAGGTAGTCCCTGACTGGGTGTTTCATATCTCAGTCAGTTGTAAGTCTGGGACTATAATTGTAAAAGAGAATGGACAGATGAGGGGACAGAAATTTGGCTGAGTGCTCTTTGCAAAGAGGTGAGACAGCTGCTCTCTAAGTTGTGGTTTTTTGCAGTAGGAGAGCACTGCACCTGAGTGCAGCCCTGGCCAAACTGAGTGGGGACACTTGGGCAGGTTTGCTGCAGCCAAGGTAAACAGGAGTGGGGGAAAGGGAGAGGCACAGCAGGCTTCTGGTAAGTGCAGTAGGGGAGGCTGAGGTTCAAAGAAGGTGTGCTAGTTGAGGTGATCTCCACTGATGTTGAGTTTTTCACAGAGCAGCAATGAGCCTCTAAAAGGTGCTTTCATCCTAAAGTAATCAGCAATGAGTACAAGGTCATTTCTGAAGGACAGAATCACAGTATGGCTGGAGAGGTTATTTTGGAGGGTTGTTGGTTTGAGGTTCTTTGAGTGTAAGGAAATATGGTAACAGATTCTGGTACCTTTCATTGTGCTTATAATGCATGTAACTGACTCTTGAAGCTTGATTTATTGTTCTGGATTTGTAGCTGGTGAAAAGGAAGTAAAAACTAATTTCCAAAACCTGATCTATGACAGATGAAGATCTTGCAGAAAGAAAAGCAGTCAAGTATGTTCCAATGCACTGAGATTTGGGTCTTCTCTTGGGTCTTGCTTTATGAGTCTATTTAAAATAGTTCACTCCTGTCAGGTTTTGACTATGTTGGTATTTCCCTTTGTTGCCAGACTATTGTCTGTCTGGAAGTTAATCATCCTGTATTTGTGTAAACATGAACTGCTTGTTTGGCAACCTGGATGGAATGGTTAAAGCCATGGGCTGGTTATCAGTGTATGTGACTGCTGTGTACAGAACTCTACATGAAGCTATTTCTGGCTGGGTCTTTTGGATTTCTTTTGAGCTGAATTCTGAGCCTGTTTATTGACCTTAATGTGTGTGTGTGTTCTTCCTTCTTTGAAAGAGAATAGGACTTTTGAATTGGTCAAGACAGCAAAAAGTTCAAAGACATCCTTGTGATGTGTTATATCACTTGGATTCTCAATGTACAGACAAGTAACTCCCTAACTTGAAATAATGTGTGCCAAGTTACCTTCACTAGTGTTGGGAGAGCAGCAGCAAAAAGCTTTAGGTACTGAAAGATGCTGTAAGGTCTCCTTGGAGCCTACTCTTCTCCAGGCT